CCACCACTCATTGAAAAATTGTTTTCAATGGTTTTACTAGTTTAAAATGTTTAACATATTTTACAAGTACTGAATTTAGGGTTCAACTGAATATACGATTACAACAATATTGCACTAAAAATAAGATTCTATGCCTGGAGATATGGCCCAGTGGTTAAGAGAGCTTGCTGCTCTTCCAGGGGACCAGAGTTCAATTCCCAGTCCCCTTGCTCACAATTGCCTATAACTCTAGCTCCAGGTGGTCTCTGTGAGCACCTACACACATACACATGGACACAAACACATATACATAACTAAAAACAAATCATTTTGAAAAATAATGACTTTAAAGGTATTATATCAAGTGATTGTATATCTTTACTTATAAATCAGGATATTCAAAATTGGCATTTTATTATCCTATCAACATGTTTGAAACTAAGTTACACTATGTAAATTAGCATAAAATTGATTTCCTAAGAAATTTTAGTATATAATAATAATGCTAAATCTACATATACCAATAACAAACTATAAAATCTAATTACAGTGACAATATCTTTCATTTACAGTAACATCAGACAATATGTACTACCTAGAAATAAGTCTAAAAGAGATGTTCAAGATCTCCTTGTAAAATTATAGTAAGGAACTAAAGACCCAACAAATGGAGATGCCCCATTCATCAACAAAAATCAGTAAGCTTATATAAATTGGTTTAAGTCTTCTCAAATTGATTTTTAGATTGAGTGGAATTCCTAGTCAAAATCCTAACATTGTTGAAAAGATTTTCTACATGTATAGGAAAAAATAAAGGACCCAAAACAAGACCTCCCCTACCACTTCTGAGAACATCAAAGCTGCAGAAAGACAACGTGGTATGTCAGACACACTGACCTGTTCCGTAGAACAGAGCCAGAAACAAAACCGTGCATATGAACTTCAGTATCAATAGTCTCAGATATATTAAAAATGATTTCAAACCAAAGTATCAAAATACTATTAAGGATTAGGAGAAAGTATATGCAGATATTTTTCTTGTCCATGAATAAAACGAGATTTCTTAAAAAAGCATTGATGATAAAAGAACATCAATTTTTTCCAACATTAAAATAAAAGGTTTTTCTTCAATACACTGAAAAAGTTATAAAATGGTAACAGACTTTGAGACGCATGTAAGTGAAAAGAGTAATTAATATCAAGAAAACTACAATCCAAAAAGAATATAGAAATATGTAATTACCATATGGCTCAGCAATTGCATTCCACAGAAAAAAAACTTATATCCACACAGAAACTTTGTGTGAAGGTTTCAGCATGTCTATTGCTAACAAAACTGTGAGCAATCAAGTTTCCTTTACTTGGGCAATGCCCAGTAAACCATGGTAATACACAGCGATGAATTAATAAAGCACACAATTCAGGTATGAATTCTATTGAATGAAATATACACACACATCAATAGTAATTAAAGACAAGGTCACAAAATTGAGAAGGAGTGAGGAAGACATGGGAAGAGTTAAAGGGAAGAGGAGAGGTAGAAGAGATGCAAATACAGAATTTAGGTATGAAATTCTACAATAAAAAAAAGTAAAACCCAATGAAGGGCTGGAGAGATGGCTCAATGGTTGAGTACTGACTGCTCTACAGAGAACCTACGTTTGGTTCCCAGAACCTACATGGTGGCTAACAGAGGTCCTTAACTCCAGTTCCAGGGGATCAACGCCATCTTCTGGCCTCCACAGGCATTGCATGCAGTGGTGCACTTCCATACATGCAGGCAACACTCATAAAATACATCAAATAAAAATAAAATTAAAAAGCCAATATGAAAAGGTTATAGTCTGTATAATTCCATTATTTACATGGGTATCTATCATGTGAGTGCAGGTGTCCCTAGAGGCCAAAAGAGAGCATCAGAATTCCCTAAAGCTGGAGTGACAGGTGGCTGTGAACCACCTGACATGGGTGCTAGGACTTGAACTTGGATCCTCTGTGGAGGCAATACCTGCTCTTAACCACCAAACCATCTCTTTAGCCCCTACATACATTTTTTAAAGACAAAACTTTAGAAACATAGAACAAATCAGGGGCAGTTAGAGGAAACCTGTATAAAAAATAAGAACACAGGATTAGGACTGTAGCTCATGATAGATCATTTGCCTGGCATGTGAATTTAGGAGCCCTAAATTCAATCCTAAGCACCTTAAAAGTATTTCTTACAAAGGAAAAATACAATTATCTCAATAGAAAGCTGGACAAGAAATGGCAAGTATTTAAAAAGGAAGAAAAACAAATGTACTATAAAAGTGTGAAGGTACCACTGGTCATCAGGGAAATATAAATAGAAAAGCATGATAAATATAAATAAAAAGTTAAGAAATGAAATGAAAATGTTTAATAATGCCAAATGCTGAAGATGAGTTTCATCTACATGGATTTATATACTGTGGGTGGGAGCATAAGATGAAAAAAAGTTTGACGCTATCTTCTAAAGTTGAGTACTCACATAACCTATGATTCTGCAGCTCTAGTCCTAGACGAAGGGTAAAAGAAACAGTAATAGTGCTTTTGATCACAAAAACCTGGAAACAAGATCTCAAAACAAAACGACAAATCTAGGGAGTGAATAAATGAATACGTTCATACTACGAAACATTCTACCTTCAAAATGTTGTATAGCTACATGTAACAAGATGGATGAATTCATGTCAATATCTGACAGTGAGTAAGAAAAAATCTCTGAACATTACATGTAGCTTGATGACCATGTTATAAAATTAAATACAGCTAAGATACACACATACACACACACACACACACACACTACATTAAAAGAAAGCTGCACATTTTTTAAAAATCAGGTTCAGAATTATTATTATTCTACAAAGGTGTATGCTCAGTTATGGTAGGTGAGGGGTTCCACATAATTAGTAGTAGTCTGTTTTCAAGGATCTAGCTTGTATTATAAGTGATAGGTTCTCAGATAATTATTGCATTATTTTAAATAACTGACTAAATAGCTGGTAAAACAATTAATGTGTACTACACATTGTTTAGTGAGTTTAATATATATCATGAACCAAGAACTGTAATTCATCCATTTTTTAAAAAATATCTTATTTATTTTCATTTTATGAAGTGTTTTGCTTGGATGTGTATAAGCATACCCGTGTGTGTAATGTCCACAGAGGCCAGAAGAAGGTATTGAATACTCTGAAATAGAGTTACAGATGGTTATTAGCCACCATGTGGGACTGGGAACTGAACCCAGGTCGTCTGCAAGGGCAGCCAGAGCTCTCAACTGCTGAGCCATCTCTCTAGTCCAAAATTCATTCAATTTTGTTAAAAACCAGGCAATTGGTGAGGAGAGGAGATAGTAAAGAGAAAATAAGTTAATTATAGCAATAGTTCCTAAATATAAGATATTGGGATAACATAGTACATTTTTATTATACTAACAAAGTGATATTTTCGTTATATACGATAGCTTATTTAAACTGGGTATGGTAGCACATGCCTGTTATTCCAACATTGGATAGACAGAGACAGGAGGATTTCTGTAAGTTTGAGGCCAAACTGGTTTGTATAGCAAGTTCAAGCCCATTCAGGGATATATTGTGAATATTCACTGTAATTAATAAATCTTCACAAAATAAAATACTTGTAAGATTTATA